ACGAGAAACAGCTCCGGGGAAACGTGCAAGACTTAGTCAAGAGGAAGCTGTTGCAAATCCCGCAACTCACGGAGATAATCATGGAGGCTTCGCCGGAAGAAGTTGGACGTGACCTAGAGCTATATAAAGAAGAGAAGAGATCAGAGAGAGGGGATTCGACTCATTCAAGAGAGAGAGACTCCAATACACTTTGTTCTTAATCATTCTCTATAAATCATTGTTCTTTCTATTCAGATCAAAAAGATCATCTTTGTAAACTCTTTTATTACCAAAAATCAATATAAACAACGTATTCATTCATACAAGTTCCAACAGGATTCAGCCCACGATTATCTTTTCCCAATCTATACCTAACCTAAACTAGGAAGTGAGTTTTACCCCTCACAGTCTACAAGAGTTTGGAACTGTAACAGGATTACCATGTGGGGATTTCCCTGATGGATACGAGCCCACTGATTTCGATGTTGAAAACAAACATCTCGATCCTATCTGGAAGAAGCTGATTGGCAACAGCAAAACGACCACAATTGCTGACTTAGGAAAGAAGCTAGAGAAAGAGCCTAGAATGGCTGGTTGGAAAAAAATCCGTCTCGCTTTGATTATGATCGTAGATGGCGTTCTTATAGCTCACAAGCAATACCCCCGTCCAACGCTGAGATATGTACAAATGGTCGATGATCTTGATACGTTTTTCAACTTTCCCTGGGGTCGTGAGTCTTTTCTAAAGACCATAAGTTGTATGAGACATCCAATTGGTTCTGCTTCTGAAGAAACGATGGTTGACCTCCTCCGCCAGGATTCTTATAGGCTGCAGGGTTTCCCACTCACTCTACAATTGGTTGCATTCGCTGCTATTCCAAGGCTTCAGGACAAGATCCCTGCTCCAGTTACCCAGCTCACAATCATGGACCTGAAGCAGCCCCATCTTCCGAACCACCCCTCCATCAATATCAAACAAACCAAACAAGTGGAGGCTGAGCCAAATGTGAGTTTCTTCCAATCTTTCTACTTATGTAACAAATTTTTTATTCGAGATTTAATTTAATAATGTCTGACTTATTATGTAGTTATCTGTCGCTCCTGTGATACCTATTGACTGGAACACGACACAACCTGGTTGGGGGGTTTGGCCAGATGAAACCACTGATGAGCGTGTTGCATACATGGAGCAACTTATTGGTCAACAATTTCATTTCCAGAAGAGACTATGGCCTGGTGGAGACGCATCTCGTCCTCTGATCAATGTCCCCAAAGTTGTTAACAAACCTGTTAACCTCAAGCAAACCGTCCCTCGCTCCAGTAAACTACAACCAAAACCATCTATAGAAAAGCAACCTGCTAAGAGGAAACAAAGTCGTCTAAGCTCCTTCTTCCCAAAAAAGACTGCTCCAACCTACACAAACAAGGAACTTACTGACATGCTTCTCCAACTCCAACACAAATGCTCTACCATGGAAACCGAATCCAAGGAGTTGAGGAAAATGATACAAAAGTCAATCGTCCTTACAATGGTAAGCGATACACCTTAAACAAGTATCAATTCCCTCATAAGAAGCCAAAAACAGGTGATCAGCTCACCGGAGCAACAATGTTCCAAAACTCACAACAACACTCCGGTTAGCCTCTTATTTCCCTTTACCATTTTACCATTTTATTTTCCCTTAAACATGATTTTATCTACCTAAACCTATGTTGTTTCAGGAACACACGCAAACACGTGTAGAAGTAAAAGAGCTAGACCACTCCCCAATCGTTAGTCAATATGCAGCCCAGAGATTCCTGTTGCCGGATGAAAACGAGACCAACCACACCATGCACGACCACACACATAGCAACCACACCCCACCTGACCATAACAACATTGACCAGCACTCCTCCGACCAGATCTTCAGTAACCACAAATCCACCCAACCTGACCATCACCCTACCACCACCAAAGACAGAAGCCAAAGCCCCACTGACCCTGATAAACTATTCTACAGCTCTCCTCAGGAATCTCCTATCACAAGCCGCACCTTTGCCAGCCTAAAATCTGCTGTTTATGATGAAAGTGAGCACCCAAACAGTCCCCCATTCCGCAGACTTCTTCTTCACGGCCTCACCATTTACGAACCTATCCACCCTGAAACTCCATCCTCCACCCCTCCGAAATTCGATTCTTCAATCAACCAAACTTCTCCAAGACCATGCCCTGAAACTCCATCCTCCACCCCTCCGAAATTCGATTCTTCCATCAACCAAACTTCTCCTCTGCCCCGACCTTGCACCCAATCTCTTTTCCCTGAAATTTCCCCCAACAAAAGCCTATTACTCGGTTTTGCAGATCATGCTTCTTCAGATAACGCTTTCAAAGCGACAGCTAGTTCGAACTCTCCTCCGGCACTCAAGCCCCCTGTCATCGAACAAAATAAGGTTTATATTTTACACACTTTGTTTTTGCTTTATACAACCCTGCACCATTTATTTACATTTGTTTTTCCTAGGAAACTATTCACGACTCCGACCTAGTTGATCTCACAGACACTGACGATGATGCACACCCACCGGCCACAAGGCATCAACCTTCTGATGATGACAATGCCCTTGCGCATAAACTGCAGCAGTGTCCTACTATACCAGCCCTTGCTCTCATTGCTCCACTTCCGGAACTCGAGTGGAACCTCTTCAACAAAACATTGCCAGCCTCCAAAAAAGTGTGAGTATATGTCCTTCTTGTTAAACATTTTGCTAGCGAATTCAGGCTTCTTGATTTTAAATCTTCCATGATTATACAGATTCCATATTACACTGGATGACTTTGAATTCTCTAACAACTTTCTACTTGACCTCGCTACACCCCAAAAATGGACATCAGCCTATGTAAGTCGTCTTACATAATCTTGCAAAACTAATCTGCCTACTTTACATCAACACACTCTCTAATTGTTAGTATATACTCATGCACTTTTCAGCATATGGAGATTCTCTTGACCATGTTATCTCGGAGGCATAATAGATTGCTTGTAGACCACAATGCTGTGTTCCTCCCTCAATATCTTGGTTCTGGTCTGCAAGAGAAATCGAAGCAGAGGAATGCTGCCATCAACAAGGAATGGGAAGATCGTCTCAATGATTTGGTCAGCAACTCAGGCAGAAAGTTGTTGCAGGATGTGTATACTATCTACACTCCAATGCTTTGGAACGTCAAGCATTGGGTTGGCCTCGCTATCAAGCTGGACATTGGCCTCGTTGAAATCCTAGACCCACTCCCATCCTACTACAAAGACGTCACAGTTAGCCGATTAATGAATCGGCTTCTCGAGACACTACCAATTATCTTGAAGAAGCTTGCAAGTCCCATTCCAGTCCCAGACCTCAAACCTTTCCGCTGGATACGTGTACCTGATCTATATGTCAACGCTAGGTCCGGTGACTGTGGCCCTCTAAGTGTTAAGTTCATTGAAATGCACGCACACGGTGACCCCCAATCTCATATGGCTTGCTTTACTGACAGTAGTGTCGATGACCTCCGAAAGCAATACTCAATGGACATCTACAAAACCCTCGTCATGCCTGCTTACTATGCTCCTTCATCATCTGACTAGAGTCTTCATATCTCTGCCTTTACTATGCTACTTATATGTCTGGCTTTACTATGCTCCTTATGTATGTTTAAGACAGTCTTTTGTCGTGGGAAATATCCCACCCTGTTTTATATTTATGGTCAGACAAAATCATCTAAATCAGACAAAATGATCACTGAACAGAGCATCCACAACCACATCCATACTGGAAAATAATAAATTACACCAAACCGGTTAGTCAATTAGAATCTTCAAAACCGGCTATGTGTGCCACCTGTTTTTGAGGTTGGAAATGTGGGGACAAGACATAACTTTGTTTCCTAGGAGGAGTTATTAAGGTTGGTTTATAGGATACAGTGTCAAGATCCAACCGTTGGATCCTATTTGTTTGAAGGGTTACGAGCTCTTGACCTAAATCTATCTCTTTAAGAAAGAGGTTTTGAATATAGTTGCCTCTCTTGACTTTCCTTTGACGGAAGAGGAGGAAAGTTAGAAACTTCAGACTGCTGAGAAGGAGGATACAGGTAAAAGCTCTGCTCTTTGTGTGTTGAATATAGTGTTATGCATTTCATGAAGTGGTGAAGGTGACTTATTTCTGTGGAAAATGTTTAAAATGTTCTCCTTTTCATTTTCGTTTTTTACAGTTGAAGCCATGAACGAACATTGTATGGTTGTAAGTGGTGACTGGGTATGTGGGGATGGAGGCAAGTGGGATTTCCTTGTTGAGAAGAACCAAATGGGGCGAACTGTTAGGGTTTGCGAAGAAATGAATTTGAAGGAACTGGAAGTAAGCGTCCTTAGCGAGTTCAAACTTGATAAGGGTCATTGGCATGTATCTTTGAGCTACTGGCCACCTTCAAGTACTGAACTTGCTACTGGTATATGTACTCCACCGGTTCTGATGACAAGTGATGGTACTTTGGGTTATTTCCGACAACATCAGAAAGTTAAAGGAGAGATGAACTTGTTTGCCAAATTTGAAGCGAGGCAACTGCTGGTGGATTCAGAGGTTGTGGATGACACTGGGATGGGTTTCGTTTCACCTGGAGCAGCTAACTTCACTGTAAAAAGCAAGAAGGAAATTGGTTCTTCCAAAAGACGTTACGTCTCCTCTGCTGCTTCGAAGACAAGAGTGATAAATCTTGAAGACGATGATAACTTTGTTGCAGAAGTAGAGAAAGTCGAGGAGAGGATTAGAAGTGAAAGTGTTAAAGGAGGTAGCAGCAAGGGTGGGTATGAGAGTGGTGGATGTAGCTTCGAAACTGATGAAGAAGTTAATGATGTGGATGATATAAACGAGATCGAAGTTAGGCCCAGAGGTTATGATAAGGAGTTTTGGAAACCTTTATTGGCGGGTCATTATGGTGGATCTGATGCTGTGAATAAAGTATACAACGAAGAAGAGATTGTCGAGGGTTTGAGTAAGAAAAATGGTCCACGTTCATACTTTTGTGACACAAACAGTTGTTTTGATCACAGGGTGGAGGTCGATGGAGGTAGTGGAGGAGAAAACAAGCCCAAACAAGATAAGCCAGAGGACTATAATCCTTGGGTGAGAAGTACTAATGAAGTTCCAGAAGATTCCAATAGGAGTTCGGTTCCAACAAGGCGGCTTTCTGATGTTGAAGACGAGGAGTTCGATATTCCCCCACTCTTTGATGATACTGAATACGATGCTGCTGAGATACCCGACATGGATGTTGATGATGTGGATGGTGATATTGCAGTTGGTAAGGTCTATGCTAGTAAGGAGGATTTTCAGATAGCGTTAGCTATATATGCTATAAAGAAGCAGTTTAAGTTCAAGCAGACTAGGACGAAGCTTGATTATTTTGTTGTGGAGTGCCCTGATACTCGTTGTGATTGGCGTGTACATGCACATGAAATACGGGGCTGTGGTTACTATGAGATAAGGAAGGCTCAGCTTGATCATATCTGTCCAATAGAGTTTTGGCATGGCTACAAAAGTAGAGCAACATCTCGTGTAATTGCTTCTGTTTACAAAGCTAAGTTTGGGGATCCGACCAAAGCACCGGCAGCAAGGGAGTTTCAAAAACTATTGATGGAGGATCTGCGTGTTACCTCTTCATACATGAAGTGCTATAGGGCGAAGGAAAAAGCTAATTTGGAATTGCGTGGTTCTGATGAGGACTCGTACTTGAAGCTCCCTGAGTATTTCTATATGTTGAAGCTTGCAAATCCCGGTACAATATCTGATATCAAGACTGATCTTGATGAAGATGGTGATGAACGTTTTCGGTATTGTTTTCTAGCCTTTGGTGCGTCAATCCAAGGATTCAAGAAGCTTAGACTTGTATTGGTTATTGACGGAACACATCTCAGTGGTAAATACAAAGGCGTTTTGCTAACAGCTAGCGGGCAGGATGCAAATTTTCAAATCTTCCCTCTTGCATTTGCTGTCGTGGACAGTGAGGATGAGGAAGCGTGGACATGGTTTCTCAAAAGAGTCGAGAGGATTCTTGGCGATTCACCCACTCTAGCAATAATATCGGATAGGGCAGTGTCTATATCAAATGCTGTGAGTAAGATTTATCCTCAAGCTAAGCATGGAGCCTGCATTGTCCATTTGGCTAGGAATGTCAACTCTAGATTTTCAAGTAAGTACTTAGCGAAGATGGTCACCGCAGCGGCTATGGCTCATAGGCCACGAGATTTCAAGGACCTCTATAGCAAGATAAGGGCTAGAAACAGTGCTTGCGGTATATATTTGGGGAAAATTGGTGTAGCTAGGTGGTCTAGAGCGAATTTTCCAGGGGAAAGGTATAACATCATGACCAGCAATATTGCTGAGCAACTAAACAAGGCGTTGTTAGAGGGGAGGGGCGCAACTATAGTGGAGTTGTTAACATTCATACAAAGGATGATGACAAGGTGGTTCAGTGCAAGGAGGAAAAAGGCTGAGAAACATAGAGGTACGGTCAGCGTGGAGGTGGACAAGCTGATGACGAAGAACATGGCTACTGTCAAAGGCAGTAAGATAAACAAGGTGTGTAGCTGGAGTGCTGAAATTGTAGGGAAGTTTGGTGGAAAGGAAACTGTGATGCTAGATACTAGGCAGTGCACTTGTAAGTATTATGATGATATCAAAATACCTTGCGGGCATGCATTGATTGCAGCGGATGGTTTAGGGGTTAGTTACGAAACCTTGTGTGGACATTGGTACAAAACTGCTTCGTGGAGGGAGACCTATGTAGGTGTCATCAACCCTGATGGTGATCCAAGAGATGTTGAAGTACCAGAAGGAGTTGGTAGTATGGTTTTGTACCCTCCAATGACTAAAAGGCAATCAGGAAGACGTCGCAAGTCGCGCATTCCATCTACCGGAGAGATACAGGTGCGTTGGTTGATTTTAAGTCCTTTTTCATATGGCTTGCTTTTAAGTCTGTTTCTGCTCATATGTTCCTTTTCCAGAGATACAGGTGCGTTGGTTGATTTTAAGTCCGTTTCTGCTCATATGTTCCTTTCTCAAATTTGTAATCATGCAGGGCCCTAAGAAGAAACTTGTTCCAAACAAATGTGGGAGGTGTCGTGTTGAAGGTCACAATCGAACCAATTGCACAAACCCTATATAGGAGAAGAAAGGGATTTTGTTGGGAATATTCAGTTTTTGGGTACGCTAGACTCTTGATGAATGCTGTTTTTTTCGGATGTGGTTTTGAACTAATACTCGGTTCGTATTGCTTCATTGTTACTTGTCTTTTGGGATTTTGTTTGAGCAAACTTTTGAAGGAGCAGTTGTCTTTTGAGCTTATTATGTTGAGTACTTTTTTATGTTTGTATAAAAAAGTACTCAACATGATGCCTTGTGACTTGTTCGGTTTCTAAACTAATGAAGTTGCAGTTCCTTTTTAATGTTTCTCTCTTCTATTCCCTGCATTTTGACATGTTACTGGTATCATTGCTCGTCATTAATTGTGTTTCAAACCGACTAGAGCTATGTTGTTCCTTAGACACTTGGTCGTCATTTAAGCACATCTCTACCCACAAAATGGCAAACCAGAACATAAGCAACAGATAATAGTTTTCAAATTGTGTCTCCATATGAAAATAAACTCCACATGTGACACTAGATTAAGGCGTACACATAACATAATCTGTTAACAAAAACAGAACATAATTTGTTTACAAAAGAGACAGCACATAAGCTAACGACTATGTTCTCAACACACAAAACAATACACGATAAGAGTTATCCAAAAACAAGATAACAAGATAACAATGCTTCAGCTCTAAAAACCAAAATCTACATGCTACGGCGTTGTGGTCATTGGGCATGTGGTCAATATTAGTTACTCAGTTTTGCATAGAGGAACGCCAGTGTTCCAAAGACTATGCCACAAGCTGCAAAGTTGAGAAGTGGTGTCTGCGTTTTGGCTACCGCTGAAGCAAGATTGGATGACGCCAAACCATCTTCAATGGTGGCCGTTGCATTCTCTTTAGTTGCTGACGCCAAACCTTCTGTGATTAAGGTTCTTTGTTCTTCGAGTCTACATTTCATGTCAAAGATGGCCTCATCGAGGCATTTGCCCTGACTTTCAATGGCTTCAGTAGTTGCCTTCATAAAAGATGCAAACTCCGCCTGTTGCTGACGCTGGTTAACATCGACAATGTTTATCTCGTCAATAATAGCCTCGTCAACCCATTTGAACAAGTGGTCTTCGTTTTGCCTCTGTAAACACAACAAATGACATACTCAAATCTATTCACAACATTACGGCAATCAACAACATTCTCAAATCTATCCACAACATTAGGCCGCTAAACGACATTCTCAAATCTATCAGGGTATTCAGCAATCCACTATAAACTTTGCCCAGATTAGAGAGCAAAAGCAAACAAGACAGTACCTGAACTCCGATTTTACATATGTAGAAGCGACGGAACAGGTTTTCCTTCGTTTTGGATCCGAAAGTCGTCAATTTTGCTCCACACCAGCACCGATTTGGTACACCCACAGTCTCTCTTCTCCCATTGCAACGGCTTGACGAACTGGAGGAACTCATGGTTAGACGAAATTTGTTCTGGATAGAGGAAAGTGACAGACGGAAATGAGAGGCGGAATTGAGACACGAAAATGAGAGACTTGTGTTTGCGTCTCAGAACAAAACCTAATCCCTTATCTCCTAAAAGAACAAAATCATTAAACCGTTGGTTTAAATAACCAGAGTCCAATATGTTGGTTATGATTTAGTGAACTAAACAAGGAGTTTTTGGTATTTAGATACAAGAGAGAGAGAGGAAAAGTAGACACAAAGTGCCTCTAAAGCAACAAGTGCCTCTCTATGTAACAAAAGTGAGGAAAGTGCCTAATTTGGTAACTCACTCAAAAATCATATACCTATCAAGTAGCGAATAAGAAGCAAACAATGAGTAATTGTAGTCACCAATAAAATATAGTACATAAATTTAAAAAACTAATAAAATAAATAAATGTATTTAAAAAACCAAGTAATATATAACAAGTAAATGATAACAAGTAACAAACCAAGTAACAACCCAATTAGTTAAAAATAAGAAATGAACTTGATACTTGACTTGTACTTGCGAGTATTAAAATATGTTTATTTGTTACTCGACTTGATTATAGGAAGTATTTGTTTTTTTCAAACCGAACCGAGTCAAATAGCGAGTATAAACCGAATATTAAGCATTTATGCCCAACCCTACGTGAAATGAGGTAAAACAGTTACCTGGACAAAGCCATTAATATTTCTTTTGGTTTAAAAAAAAAAGAGGAAAAACAGGTAACATTATTTGAAAAAAAGCCGAGCCAAAAGGGTCTAAGACAAGATAACTCTCCACTAATATTATGCCATACAACATTACAACAACAAATAATCTGTTATTGTCCAAATTTCCAACATGTTCTTTTGTTCATTACTTCTTGTCTAATTGATTCTCTCCAGGCGAACGGAGAAACATGAGCCGGCTCCGAGCATTTTCTTTGCTGGATTTAGTTCTTTCCGGTTCTGGATCTGCTACCTCCTCAACAAGAACCACAGAGCACCAATCAAATAACGTTTCATCTAATAAACTTCAAGTTCTTTCTCTTGATTTTTCTCAGAATTGATATAACACGCTAAGAAATAAGGCTTTAAGACCTGATTTGTATTGTTTTCCCAATATTCCCAACAAATCCATTTTAACCGAAGCTATTTCTCTTAACAAATACTACTAATAAAATGTCTAATTTCAGCAGCTAACCCATTTAAACATCCATATATCCCACCTTGTGATTTCTTTTAACATTGGCTTTTGTTTTCTGTTTATTGGCCAAGAAAAAATGTTGACTTGCGTGACAAGAAATTTGTTTAATGTGTTTTTGCGTGTCTGTGAAGGCATCTATACGTATTTTAAGCTACTCCTGAAACTCGTTCAAGGTCTGAGGAAAGAGGACTTCAAGGTCTGAGGAAAGAGGACTGATAAAGGGCCTATAATTAATGTTATTGGTGGTTACACAAAATAAACATGAAATAGATCTTTTAGAAGCGGATAAAATACACAGCAGCCCAATCCAATTAAGTACAAACGCAAGTCGAAGGTTAGTTGTGAAAAGAGTCGCTGACATGCGAATCACTTGAAGAAGTCATTGATGAGGTGGCAACATAAGAAGAAAAAAACTCTTCTTTATTATTTTAGGAGATAAATAGATAATATATTTTAGTTAACCTAATTAAATTAATATATTGAATTGTTGGGTTGGTTTAGTTTTAAATAAAAGCAATCGGAACTATTTGAGTTGATTAAACGTTTCATCGAATAATTAAAACATATACTCCAGCTTGTTTTGGTGCGTTTGGTTCCGTCCTTTTGTTAAACATGTTGCCAAAACAAACTCTTTTCAATAGGGTGAAAAAATTGGAAACATGTCTAACAATTACAAGCGCAAAAGCTACTATAAGACATATAAGAGCATGTTCAACGCAAACATAGGTAACTTTTATTACTTTATTTATTTTATTTTTTTGTTTAAATTAAAGTAAAAAAGAAGAGGAACCAATAAACAGTACAGGAAACTCAAAAAAAAACGTCCCTTAATTGAACTCCCAAACACCTGTTCCTTACTAAAATGCTAGACCACACTGATCATTTTATTATTTTTTTGCTAAAAGACCTATGCTAAGGAACTGTTGAGAGTGTTGTCGTTTTAGGTCATGGTCCTAATGGGTTTGCAGTTGGCTATTGGGCTCTCGGCTTATTCGTTTGGGCTTAAATGTAAGTGGCATTGGAAGTCCAGAAACGCGGGATGGTACATTCCGTTAAAAGGGAGATGTCCGTTAACTAACAACCAAACGGTAACGACTAACAACCATCATCTGTTTCCTCGTTCATTATAAAAACAGAGAAGTTACAGAAGATAAGGTTCGACGGTGATTACAAGATAGAGAGTCAAGGAAGCTACCAAGTTGGAGGAGAAAGCTTGATCAAGAACAGAGAGATCAAGGTGCGGTCAAGCTCTTGCGATCTTCAGCTTTCTCCATATCACTCTGCGTGTTCTCTTCGGTATCAGAGGAATCGGAGGCTGATAGTGAGTCGTCTTCTTCGCAGAGATCTTGGTAATCTTCCTGGAATATCTCTCGGTATAAGCTCTTGTAATACCTGAACAAGAAAGTGTGTTAGAGATCGGTAAAGATCTAGCTATTGTATCACATCGATATTATAGTGAAAGCCATGAGAGTTTGGTTCTCTCCCCAGTCATTAGGCAACGAAGACTGGGTAAACAAATCTGTGTGTTGATTTACATTTCAGTTTGAGCAGAGTAGTGTCACTTGTTAGAGGTTAAGTAACAAAGAACGCAAAGAACTTAGAGTTAACTTGGACAAGAAGCAATCGAACCTAGTGATTGATACCTAACAAGTGGTATCAGAGCCAGGTTCTCGGTTTAGAGAACTAGGTTTGTTCAGCGGTCAAGCTGTGATTGTGGTTGAGAGTTATCTGTGTTTGTGAAGTTGTTTGTGAGGTGTGTTGTCTGCAGTGATCGCTATGGAGTCTGTTCATGGCAAGTTCAAGATGGAGAAGTTTGATGGTACGGGTGATTTCGGTATGTGGAAGTTCAAGATGTTAATGCAGCTTGAGCTGCAAGGGCTGGGACACATTTTGGCTGAGGAAGAACCGAGCTTACCTAAAGAGGAAACAGATGAGGATGAAGATGTTGAGAAGGAAAAGGAAGTTAAGAAGGATAAAGATCCTTTGTCCAAAGAGAAAGATACTCGAGCAAAGAACTTAATATGCTCAAGTCTCACCAACATCGTTCTCAGGAAGGTAATGAAAGAGACTACTGCTAAAGGAGTGTGGAAAGCTCTGGAGAATGACTATCAAACTAAGACCTTACCTAATCGAATCTATCTAAAGCAAAGGTTTGCTGGTTACAAGATGGATGAAAGTAAAAGTATTGAGGAGAATCTCGATGTGTTCCTAAAGCTAGTAGACGATCTTGCAAGTCTAAACATCGAAGTTTCAGATGAAGATCAAGCCATCCAGATTCTAACGAGTTTACCTCCTCAATATGATTCTCTGGTTCACACCCTGAAGTATGGAAATGGCAAAGAGACGCTGACAGTTAAAGAAGTGACTACTTCTGCTTATGCAAAGGAGGCAGAGTTAAAGGAGAAAGGTCTTCACAAACGTCCTAAGTCAAGTGCAGAAGGTCTGGTGGCTACTAGAGGGAGAAGTGAAAAGAGAACAGGAAACTCAGGAAGGTTTAGGTCCAAGAGCAAAGACTATCGCTCCAAGTCTAAAGGCAAAGGTCAACCTAAACCAAGAGAATGCTGGGTTTGTGGTAAGGAGGGCACTTTAAAAGAGAATGTCCTGAGAGAAAAGACAATAAGTCTGACAACACAGCTAATGTTGCTCAGGATAAGGAGTTCCCTATGATACTAACTGCAAGTGCTCACGATACTAGGAAGGAATGGGTTCTTGACTCAGGTTGTACGTTTCATATCACACCAAACAGAGATGTACTGTATGATTTTGAAGAAGTAGAAGGTGGAAGAGTGCTTATGGGTAACAATACGTTCAGTGAAGTTAAAGGAATTGGAAAGCTGAAGGTTGTGAATCCAGATCAGTCTACGGTTGTGCTTAACTGGAGTTCGCTATATGCCAACGATGGGTAGAAACCTCATATCGTATGGACAGCTGGAAAAGAGTGGGTGTAAGTACACTGGTGAAGAATTCAGTGTGGTGTTTACTAAGAATGGTAAGAAGGTTATTTCAGGGAAGTATAAGAATGGGTTATACTATCTGGAAGGTTCCGTTGCGAAGGCTGAAGCAAATGTTACACGAGTAGCAGAAAATCTTACAAATTTGTGGCACTCTAGGCTGGGTCATATGAGCTTAAAGAATATGAATGTTCTGGTTAAGAATGGTTATCTAAAGGATAAGGAGGTTCACACGTTGGATTTCTGTGAAGATTGCGTACTTGGAAAGACACACAAGTTACCGTTTCCTACTGCTAAGCATACTTCAAAGGAAATTCTAGCTTATGTTCACAGTGATCTGTGGGGTTCAGTTTCTAATGCTGAGAGTTTATCAGGCTGCAGGTATTTCCTAACACTGATTGACGATTTCTCGAAGAAAGTTTGGATTAGGTTCTTGAGATCTAAGGATGAGACTTATGAGAATATTGCTGATTGGAAGAAGCTAGTAGAAACTCAGACATGAAAGAAAGTTAAGTGCTTGCGCACTGACAATGGGTTAGAATTCTGCAACAATCAGATGGAGTCAATGTGTAAGGAAGCTGGAATTAAGAGACATCGAACTTGTACTTATACTCCACAACAGAATGGAGTAGCAGAAAGGATGAACAGAACTATTGCTGATAAGGTTCGTTGTATGTTAGCTGAGTCAGGGTTAGAAAAGAAGTTTTGGGCTGTCTACTTGATAAACCGGACTCCAAATTCGTCAATTGAATTCAAAATTCCAGAAGAGGTTTGGTCTGGGGTTAAGGTGGAGTTTGGTCATCTCAGAAGGTTTGGTTGTGTTGCGTATGTTCATACCGTTCAAG